GCAGAGTTTCTTTAGGGTAATTGATGAATGATCATGAAGAAATGAGAAAGGTGTTTATAAAGATGGAGATGAGGAGAATTTGGAGGGAAATGTAGTTTTAAAATAGTTAGGAATGGATCAATTTCCACCCTTGGATGGTGATCTTAAACTAGGGTTTATCAAGGGTGGAAATTCATTAATGAATTGTGTTAGTTGAGTGATTTAGTTGGAATGAAGAAAAAGTGAATGGTTTGTGTTTCTTTTCAACTGAAATTACTGTAAAGTTAGGAAAAAGGTGTGTTTGTTTGGGTTTTGTGAGTTAGTTATGAATTGAAAGTTAGTTAGTGTGTTTCAAAACTTGGTTAGAGTATTTGGAGGTAAACTTAATCCTAGGGGCAATTTAGTAACTGGCCTTTGCACACGTGGCATTGGGTCTGTTGACTGATAGTTAGGGTTTGTTAGTGATAATTAGAAATTAGTTAGTTTGTAAGGACAATTATGTTAGTGTTGGTTCAGTTTATTGGTCACATGGTTAATAATTTGTTAATTGTTAGTTTAGTTAATAGTTTTTACCAGTTAGTTTAGGGATTAATCATAGTTTGTTAGATGTTAGTTAGTTGTTAGTTTTAGTTAGCAACTAACTTAGTCAGTTAGGGCAGGGGTTTTGTGCTTGTAATTAACTTGGTCAATTGGTAGTTAGAGCTACGGCTAGCAGTTAAAGGCATTAGGGTAGTTATGAAGTTGGTTAGCCATGAATCATAAGTTAGGTTATGTGTATGTGCATTGACTTGTTGATGCGCGTATTTGTATGATGTAATTTGAATACTGCACTACTTTAACTCATGATATGCATGAGGATGATAATTGTCATGATAACTTTGACTGAATGTGGATTGTCCCCAATTGATGATGATTGGGGTTTAGTGTGTAGGTTTGTCATGGTATTGCTTTCTTTGAAATAATGGTCCATGTTGTTATGCTTATTATTAATGTGTAGGTGTAATGAATTGATTGTGTTTGTGTGTGTGTGTGTGTGTGTGTGTGTGTGTATGTGTGTGTGTGTGTGTGTGCCTGTGTGCGTGTGTGCGTGTGTGTGTGTGTGTGTTTGTATGTTGTCCAAACTGTCATGACAGTTGGGCTTTATACGAAGTGTGTTTTGTGATGTTCATTGCCTTGTGCCTATGTGTTTTGATGTGTGTATGACCTATATGTTTGGAATGTCATTATATTGTTTGAATGTCTCATGATGCTAATATGGTTTGAATGTTGCAGGGTTGTTACGAGGCTTGGCATATCATGATGAAGCAAGTTGGTCATGGGCAAGATTTGGCATGAAGCTTGGCTTAGAAGTTAGCATGAAAGGGTATCATGATGAAGATTGGTGACATGGAGTTTGGAATGGTAGTGAAGAAGGCTTGGAGATAAAGTAGAAATTCATGAATATGAAGCAAAACAGGTATAAGGTTAAGTTTGACTTTGGTCAACTATTTGACCAAAAGTCTACTATAGGTCAAACTTAGGATTCTCTTGTAATTTTCATTTCTGACTTTCTGGAAATAAACTTTTCCCTCCATTTTGCATAATTTGAAATTTTGAATTTTTGGCTCCTTTGAATCCAATTTTAAATGCTTTAATTAAAATACCAATTGCCCATCCATAGTTAACACATAAAGACCTCATAGGACTTGGTCAACAAAAAGTCAACCTTCCATGGTTTAATTTATTGACCAAAAGTCAACCTTGTGTGAATGGCTTCCAAATCTTCTTGTCCATGTTGTGTACCAATACCACCAATATGTCTTGAATATAATTAGGGATCCCAACACTTAGGCCAAAAAAGTCAACAATCAAAATTGACTTTGATCAAAAAGTCAATTGTAATACAATGATCCTGAAAGCTTATTTCACAAGTGCAGACAACAAGAAAACCCTAATCCATGAAGATTAATAGCATTTTTGGTATAACTCAATATCTTGTACCATAAACAATAGGAATCCTTTGAATCAATGATGTCGCGTGTGAATGCAAGTTCAGATGAATGATCCTATAAATGAATGATTTAGATATATGTATGCAGATGAATCATGAGTCATGAGCCAGATGAAATGAGAATAGGTAGGACAATTTTTGAGGTATGAAAATTATCCTTATTTAATCATCTTAAACCTGAATGTATGAATGGTGACAACTTTCGGAAATTCAAGGTAGAAGAGGATTAAATGCAAAGACAAAAAAACTTGTCCTTTGATAAAGAAGTGGATGTAATATAATGAGTCTGGTTGTATCATTGGGAATTTATTTGCTAGGGATACAGAACGGAAGATAGACCTTGTGAGGATTATTGGCTGAAATACTTGGTTAGGGAATAGATCAGTTGTAAGAGAGATGTCTGTTATGGATTATGCATATATTGCTTATGCTGAATTTATATGATGCATGAGATTATGTGTGTTATGTAGCTATGTGAGCAATTTTGTGAAAGAAATGACTGGTATCTACAAGAATGAGAATTTTTCTTGTGTGGTGATGAAATTTGATTCTCCGACATCTGATAACTAGACCAAAGAGCTTGTAAGGAAGTAGAGAACTTTAGGTTACCACAATTGTTGGATATTTCATTTTGATTCCTTCTGAGAGAGAGAATAGTTTTATGACCTGGCCGGACGGTCATCGAGATGCCTTCATGCATTAAGTGTATACTATAGACTAAAGATTTTCCTTTAGATTTTTCCAAGTAATCAAGACAATGCATAAGTTTTTCTTTTAGAGCTTTCTATTATTCTCAATGTTTTGCAGTATCTATAATGTAAGAAAAGTTGATGCTCTGGAAAATCCATCTTTGCCCTTACCTTAGGATTTTCCACTATATCATTTTGAGGACAATTTGTGTCTAAATGATACTTTTTCCAACCAATTCCATTTAGCAAATGATATAGTTATCTCTTTATTTGTATATATGATAAATAATTACTTTTACTACATGGTATCTATTATAAAGTAACTAGAAGAAATAATAAAGTTAAGTAATTGTTGTTCACAACTCACATTATACTCTTCACTTTCTCACTTCATTGTAGCATTATGAGTTTCTCTCTCCCTTTCACTTTGATTTTTGGTCCGTCTCTCTCTATCATCTGGTGTGTCTCAAGAAAAAATTCTTCTCAAGAAGCTTCGTTGTCTTCTCTGATTCCTCTTTGCTGAAGGTGAGGTTTAGTGTTTTGAGATGAACATGCAACAACTTCGTTGTTTATTTTACAATAACATTTATATTTGTTCGTGCATCTTAGTTTGTTCTTCATATCTTACTTAATATTGGTGAAACCCATTTCGCTATTTTTCGTGTATGTCTTTCATTTTATGTTGTTTAGAAAACTGGCTTCTCAAAAACCTTTATTTTCTGCACTGATTTCGCATCATTGTAGTTGGTATTTGAAGTTTTGAGATAAACAATCAAGTTGTTTACAGTTTGTTTTACAGAACAGTTTTATTTGTTCATCTTCTTCATGTTAAGGACAATGTTACCTTTTGAAGAAAAAAGGTTGTTGATACAAACTGTTTAACTTTAATTATATTTTTTTAACTTATGAAATTCTTTTGTTTGATATCGGTGTGTTATAATTTTTGATACTTTATTTTAACATAATTTAGTCTGTCCAAAGCTCTGTTGACAAATTTGTATGATGTTCACATGTTTTTAAACTAAAATGATTTGTGCTTTTGTTGAAATATGTCGGCTGAAAGTGATGGCAAGGCTATTTGAAAGAATAGTTGATATTAATGATACAAAAGAGCTTTGGAATGTTGCAATAAAAGTTCACCATAAATGGGATGTAATCTCTAGCAACAAAGAGCACATTGAGCTTATATTTGTTGATGCTGAGGTAAGTGTGAATGGTTAATTTCGATATAAACTCATTTTGAGATTGTCGTAAACATAAGCTATATTTTAATGGATTTGTATGGCACAGATGTTCATGTCATAGTACCACCCGCGTTGAAAGCAACATTTGATGTTGTTTTGTTGGTTAAAAACACCTATACTATGAAAAATTTCATGCCTCGAGTAAATGATCTTGTGTTCAAAACCTCGGAACATCCATTTGTTATCAGATTTACCCCTGGAAATCGTGTGTCTGATATCAACAAACATCAAATACCTGCTAAGAAGTTGAAGTCGAAGCCTTTTGCGGAAATAATATCTAGGAATTGGAGGAATGATTTATTAACAGGTAAATCATTTTGCTTAAATAATTTTGAGGTTTTAGTTGTAGTTAAGATGAATATGTTGACTAATAAAATGTTTGTTGATATATGTTATTGGAGTTGTGCAAGAGATTGGCTATACACAGATGAAGGCCAGCAAGAAACAACAGGTTAATCTAATTTTAAGAGACTTTGGGTTAGTTTTCTCCATTATCATAATAGTTAGTTGTTATGCTTTAACTATTATCCTAATAGTTGTATTCAAGTTTTTTTAATGTAATATTTTAACATGTGAAGGAATGACACTCTGACTTGTAATCTTTGGGAGACATATGCTTTGAAGTTCATGACATATGTGCAAAAGAACACAAAATTTGTTCCTACAATCATATTATTACAATATGTGAAGGTGAAAGTCGAAGGTATAAATAGTATTAACATTTCCGTAATTGTATTTGTCAAACTACATTATGCCATACTTAATAATAAAATGTTGTTTTTATAGGGAAGTATCTGCTTTCTGTATCAAACACGTACAACATCACAAATCTGCTCATTAATAAAGATGTTCTGGATATAGTTGAATTTTGAAAAAGGTAATATAATCAATGTACAAGTACTTTAGAACAACGTCTTTTTTTTGTATTGTTTGGTTTGTAAATCAACCAAAGGACATCAAAATAAGAATTTCATTGATTGGTTTGAAAGGCTTCTGAAGGACTGCAACATTGGAAGTTCAAGTTAACTCATGTGCATACAATCTAATGTGTGGTCACAAAACTCAGCTGGTTCTCAAATCACTTCATAAGACAAGTTCATGTCAAATGCTACCCTTCTCTGTCTACGAGATCTAATTAACCTTCCTAATGTAAGTATTTTAATAGTTGTGTTTAAATTATAATTTTCATGCGAATATGTTATTATTTTCTCCCATTTATTCATTAATATCACATGAATCAGGTCACATGGTATGTAACCGTAGCAACCATAAACAAACTGAAAGCAACTGCAAACGGTTGGCACTATCATGCATGCTTCAAGTGTCCTAAAGTAGTTAAGGGAGAGGCTCCTCCTTATATATGTGTTGATGGTCATTCAATAGAGGTAGAGATTTATAGGTATTACCTTACCATTTTTTATGTCAATTTCATCAGTTATTTCAAACTACTTTGTTATGATAATTTCTAACATTATAGGTATAAAATTGAGATTGAAGTTGTTGATAATGGTAGTTCAGCAATTTTTATCTTTTGGGATCGTGAATGTAACAAATTATTGGAAATATTTGCTTTGCAACTCCTCAAAACAATGATTAAGGTTTTCTTATATGGTTGTGATATTTTCAATATCGAAGTCATTATTCATGGCTTCTTTGTTAACATTGTTTTAATTTCAAATAGGTTGATATTGAAATCCACTTGATTTTCCATTGGACCTTGATAAGTTAATTGGTCATGAATTTGCATTCAAAGTTAAATGGCAACCTAGACGGAAAAATGCAAGTGCCATGGCTGTTAAAAGTGACAAAGAGTCAAATGATAAAGTACTTGCTCATTGGGAAGTTTCTAAGGTTTTTTACAAGAGCGTATTATGTTTGAATTATTTATATGTGTCTTAATTGAACTGAAAATGTCTAATATTTTTTGCATCAGCCTTCTTTGATTGATGTTATTGATGAACAAGTTAACCAGGTATTTTAGCAACTTAATCATAAGTCTTATGTTTATTTCGTTCATTAAAATCCATGCCTTATAATGTTAAACTCATAACATTTCTATGTTTATAGATAAGGGAAAGTGTTGATGAGACAATATTAGATGAGGAATGGAATATCATAAATGTAAAACCAACTTCATAATCCTAATATGCACATATTTAGTTCATTGTATATTTACATACATCTTAATTAGTTCAAAGTGTCTAATGTTGGAGGATTTGGAATCACCTCTAATTTGAATTCACAACTATGACCTTTTGTTCCATCTCCAATCATGGTTTATATTTTTTTTCTTTTTTATGACATGTAGACTATATGTTATTAGTTAGTGGATATATAATGTGATTTATTTATGGTTTTGTTGAAATATGTTTTGATCTCTAAGTCCCCTAAAAAAGTTATGCCAACAACATCACTACAAGTTACTCCAAAGAATGCAAAAGCAAAGGCAATAAAACCACCTCAAGTTACTCCAATCAATTCTGGTAAAAGGGTCCTGTAAATGCTTCATCCAACTCTACTTCCATTAAGGAACTTGGTGAAGGATAAGAATCTGCGACCAGGCTACGTCGCATACATGTCAAGATTGAGAAGAAATGAGTAATGTTACATAACAAACACATCACAAAGATATTATAAGGGTCAATTACTAGGACATTTCTTTGTGCATTCTTTGCTGATGTTATTTCCATTTCCCAATACACCTCATCATCCTCACCCTCATCCTTTCATCATCCCCATCCTCATATTCGTCTTCCTCATCTTCATCATCATCCTCAACACCCTCTTCAGAATCATCCTCATCTCCATCTTCATCATCATCCTCATCATTATCAAACTCATCTTCCTCCTCATCAATATCATTATCCTCTTCCTCATTGTGATCTTCTTGCATGCGACATGCATTGTCTTCTCCCAATGCAATTTCTTTGGCCATGTTATCACTTTCAATTTCACACTTGGTCATGGACACACTCAACTTAATATCCTCAACCTGACTTTACATGCATTGACTTTACCTTTTACCATATTGTCGCTACGCGAAAACAAACGGCGAAGACACACAGAGTCGTCATCGAACTTTATTTATTCCAATGGAGAAGAGGAAAACATCGAGAAAACCTCATAAGGGAAAGAACATGGTCATCGCAATCAAGTTCGAGGTTCGGGAGTCGATTACGCAAAAGAAAGGTGTTAGCACCCCTCGCGTCCGTTGTACTCAACGGGATCTACTCTTGTTGTTCTAATCAAATGGTGTGTATATCTAAAGCCTACTTGCTAACGGGAACGAAAAGGGAAAAAAATAAAAGGAGACTCGATAGGATCTCGCAATCCTATGCCTACGTATTCCCTCGTGTAATGGGAAAGTCAGAGTCAATGTAGTTCGGAGGACTACGGGTGAAAAATGAGAAGTTTGCTTGCCAAGGATTGGGGCCCTTGTGCCTATGTATTCTCAATAGGTATGAGAAATCAGAGCGTCCGTAGTTCGAACTACGATTTATTGGTGTTTTTTTTATGGACGATGCTAATGTTCACGTTCTAGTAGTTAGGTGTATTGCCGCTTTCTGAAAAGGTTTTGATGGAATCCCGAAGGAGAAAATGATTCAAAATTGTTGGAGTGTTTTTGTTAGGGTTTTGAAAAGAGTTTGAGATGTGTATTGTACTAAAGTCTATGACAATAGAAGCGAATGCTTTGCACAAACGATCTGAGACGCTTCGCGCACAAAACACTCTAGAAGATGTAAGGAGAAATTACCGCTCATCATTTTGCATGTACTTAAGGCTCGTGACGTGTAACACCCATTTTAATTATTCAGTCTTTTTAGTGTTATTCTATTTTGGTGTGTCCTTATATGGGGGTGTGTTTGAGTGCGTTGGTGGGTGCCCTTAGACTGTAAGAATTATTTAATAACTATAGAATTTGATAGTAATATAATATAATTAATGGTGGTGATAATTTAATAACTAATAGTAATATTATTATTATTATTATTGGAATAAGTAATAAAAGGGGATTTTGGGAGAAGAAGAAAAGGAGAACACGATAAACAGCTTGGGAGAAAGAGTAAAGAGGAAGAGCAAGGAGGAAGAGAGGAAGGCTAGGGCTGCCAAATTCTTCAAGATTCTTCAAAAATCGAAGCAATTAATTAAGGTAAGGGGGGAGAAACGAGTTAAGATTGGTATTCTTGCATGTTGGTATGCATGTTGTTGTTGTTGTTGTTGTTGTTGTTGTTGATATTGGTGAATTTGGTGTATGATATTGATGAATTTGGTGCATGCATTGTTGTTATGATTTTGGGTGAGGTTCGATGTACCTTCTGAGGTATTAGCGATGTACAGGAAAATTGGTTCTGGAGAGGAAATCTAAGGAGCAAATGGTTAGAATGGTGTATAATAGTTGCAATAATCATGGGATAGCAGATAGATTGAGAATGATAGGCTTGGAATTGAGTAAGATGATATTTCTGGACAATGAGGGTTTTGTGAAATCGCAGACGTTCGCCAGCACCTTTGCTAGGCGAGCTAGTAGAGAGCATTCGCTAGGGACTCGCTAGGCGATCTAGGTAGTGAACACTTCCAGTAGCCACTGTCTGCCTTCGCTAGGCGAGTGAGGCAGCGAGCGTTCGTTGAGGCTTCACTAGGAGAGTGAGCCAGCGAGCGTGACAGAAAGGTGATTTTGTGCTGTTTTGCTTTGTAATTTGTTTTGTAGAATCCCTTGGGCTGTGATGGGTAGAGAGATGGTGTTTAGTGGTGAAGAGTGTATACTTGGTGTTGAAAGGTGAAATTATGAAATATTGAATTTAATTGATATAATTAATTGGTGGGTAAGACATGTATATATATATATATATATATATATATATATATATATATATATATATATATATATATATATATATATATATATATATATATATATAAATATATATATATATATATATATATATATATATATATATATATATATATATGTATGATGCATAGTGAGGTGATTGGGAGGATTGTGTGTACTCGGTGTTCAAATGTAAATTTCTCTATTATTTAATTTGATTAACATAATTGATTGGCGTGTAATATATATATGATGTATGGTGATATGATCAGGAGGATCGTGTGACTTTAACTAAAATACTTAAATTGGTGTGTAACATATATGTATGATGTATGGTGATGTGATCAGGAGGATCATGTGCACTTAGTGTGTTTGAGTTTGTGTGTTGTGCATTTGGTGTTGTGCATATCATGGTGTTTTGGTGGGATGAATCATGTCTCAGGAGGAGCGTAAGTGATTCATCCGTACTCCCTTGTGGAGAATGGTGGGGTTGAATCATGTCTCAGGAGGAGCGTAAGTGATTCACCCGTACTCCTTTGTGGAGAATGGTGGGGATAGATCATGTCTCATGAGAAGCGTAAGTGATCTATCCGGGGTTCGATTGAATGAACCAATGAGTCGGTACCGAATGCATGGTGTTGAGTTGCATTCTTGCATTATTGTATGTTGTGTTGATGATTGGGCAGTAGGTCGTGATTGATGTTGGTGGGGTGATGATTTGTATATTTACTGCCTTTTATTTATGTATCTTATTGCCGATAATTTTGATCATGTTTTCTCACCCCTCTGTTGTTGTTATAGTTTGTGCTTCTTCGGAAGTACAGATAGTCCAGGTACATAGCTAGCTTGGATAGTGGTGTGCGGGTCGAGTCTTAGGATGCTCTGATACGTAACACGGGACTTGGGTGTTTACTTTTATTATGATTGGATTTGTTGTATTCCTGTGACGTATCTTATTTTGGTGAACCCTCTTAATGAATGTTTTATGTAAATTGGCGGATGGCCAAGAATGATGTACTAATGATGATTTCCGCTGTTTATTTTGAAAACAACTAAAGAAGTGTTTTGTTGAATTTTGTGAATGTGATATCCCACTATTGAAGGGAAACTCTGATATTTATTTGATTTAATCATATTTTATTTTAATTTGGGAAAATAGGGTGTTACCATTGGTATCAGAGCAGGTCGGCCCATCCGGCCAGTGTAGTAGTTGAGTCTGTCCTTAGGATAGAGATTGTGTACCTTTTAACCTTGTGTTGTTGTTATTAAGCGGTATGGCAGAAAGGAATGATGCTGTTTTGGTTGCCGCTATGCAAGCGATGGCGCAGGTGGTTGCTAATCAGAACCAAGCTGTTGGTGCGCAATTTAGCAATTTGGCACAATTTCGGAGTAACAAGCCACCGGCATTTGAAGGAGGAATTCTGGATCCTGAAGCTGCACAAAAGTGGCTGAAGGAAATTGAGAACATTTTCAGGACAGTTTTGAGATGTTTCATTTTGAGGGGAATTTTGAGTGTTGATGGAAGTAGAGAAGTTGGCGGGTTGCCGATTGAGTGTGGTTGTCTAGAAGTTATCCTGACAAGACAATGATATACAGTCAGGACGTGAAGTGGAGTTGTGATCGACTTAGTTGCGGAAACTAGCCGATGTTGAGAGCTCCATATTGTATGTCTGTTTGGACGGTCAAGGAATTAAATTGAGTGAGTAGTTGAAGACTTGTGTCTGGTGTGTGTGCTAGGCGACAGATTGTGAGGTCGAGTAGGTAAAGGGTGGATAATGACTTCTAGTGATTATTGAAGAAATTAAGATGTGGAATACGATATTGATATAATTAGACCTATAAACATTTCAAGAGTTGAAGATGCGTTGAATGGGCTTTTAAGGGTGAAAATGTTGTTT